AGTGATGTTGAACATCTTTTAAGATGCTTCTTAGCCATCTTTATTTCTTCTTTTGAGAACTCTCTGTTCACCTCCTTAGCCCATCTTGTAATTGGGTTACTTCCTTTCTTAATACTTTGTTTTTTGAATTCGTTATATATTCTAGATGTTAAACCTCTGTCAGACGTGTCAGTGGTGAATATTTTCTCCCATTCTGTGGGTTTTCTCTTCACTTACTTGATTGTTTCTTTTGCTGTACAGAAGCTTTTTACTTTAATGAGGTCACATTTGTTGATGTCTCCTGGGCAGTTGATGTCTGGTTTAGAAAATCCTTTCCTACACCTATATCTTGTAGGTTATTGCCAATGTTTTCTTCCAACAGTTTTAGAGTATCAGTCTTCACATTGAAGTCTTTGATCCATTTGGAGTTGACATTTGTACAAGGTGAAAGATAGGGGTTTAGTTTCGTTCTTCTACAGGTGGAGATCCAGTTTTGCTAGCACCATTTGCTGAACATGTTCTCTTTCCTCCAGTGAATGTTCTTGGCCCGTTTGTCAAATATCAGGTCGCTGAAGTTGCATGTACTCACATTTGGGTCAATTTAGTTATAAAATAGAATATCTTGGAATAAACCTGACCAAAGACATTAAAGACCTCTACAACAATAATTTTAAATCTTTAAAGGAAGAGATTGAGGAAGGATGACTTACATATATTGAATCATGCCTACATCTCTGGAATAAAGCCTACTTGATCATGGTCGATGATCTTTTTGATGCGTGTCTTCATGTAGCTTGCAAATATTTTGGTTGAGAATTTTGCATTTTGCATCATTAAAGATATGGGTCTATAGTTTTCTTTTTTGGTTGTCTCTTTATCTGGCTTTGGTATTAGAGTGATGCTGGCTTCATAGAAGGAATTTATAATCTCTTCTTGGTTTAGTTTTGGTGGTTCCCATGCCTTTAGATATCCATCCATTTCTTTTTATGTCTTTGGTCAGATTTATTCCCAGATTTTTTTTTTGCAGCTATTGTGACTTTTCCAATTATTACTCCTTTAATTTTCTTCTCTTATTGTTCTTGCAAAAGTTTCAAGCACTATCTTAACAAGGAGTGGAGATAGTGGACAGCCTT